CTCAAGTATAACAATAAAACAACAAAAACAATAAAAATAAAAACAAAACAAAATAAATAAATACATATATATATAAATATAAATAAATAAATATAAATATAAATAAATAAATATAAATATAAACATACCGATATATTGTTTAGGTTTGCCGTGTATAAAGAGTTTAATAACAGGATATTCAAGTATATGTTGTTGTATACGTGTTGTGGGGTTTTCATCACAATCTACTTTAGCGAGGGATACGGGGCGGGAGGAGACGATCCCAATGCTGCTGCTGCTGCTGCTGCTGCTGCTGCTGCTGCTGCTGCTGCTGCTGCTGCTGCTGCTGCTGCTGACGATCCCAGCAACAGCATCAAACTCAGGCAGAGCAGCACGAGACCAGTGGCACCAAGAAGCATAAAATAAAACTAAAACAAACGGCTCGCTATTTATATATTCAGTAAATGTTTCGTCTGTTAAGGATATAGCTCCTGCTGCTGCTGCTGCTGCTGCTGCTGCTGCTGCTGCTGCTGCTGATGGTGATGAGGGGGAGGGGGAGGGGGTCAGAGATGATGCTGCTGCTGGTACTGCTGCTGCTGCTGCTGCTGCTGCTGCTGCTGCTGCTGCTGCACTACCAGGAGAGCCGAAACTAGATGGGGGGGAAGAAACACCTCTCGTTACAACAACCCCACCAGAATGAGATTGCTGCTGCTCTGGTTGTTGCTGCTGCTGCTGCTGCTGCTGCTGCTGCTGCTGCGGGCTATGTCGAAGCTGCTGCTGCGCAGGTGGCTTCTGCTGCTGCTGCTGCTGAGGTGCAACGGGAAGAGGCGGCGGTACTTGCTGCTGCCGAAAGTGCTGCTGCTGCTGCTGCTGCTGCTGCGGCTGCTGCTGCTGCTGCTGCATCTGTGGCTGTTGCTGCTGCCTAAGCTGGTGGTGGTGCTGGTGTTGTTGCTGTTGCTGCTGCTGTGGTTGTCGTTGTTGACGTAGCTGCTGCTGCGGTTGCTGTTGCGCCTGAATCGGCTGCTGTACCTGCTGCTGCTGCTG